AAAAAAAAAAAAAAAAAATCCCCTTAACAAACAAATACATTTGGTGAGCTATCCCTTTAAGTGTGGTGATAACACGCTGTGGTTTACTTGAGCACATAAACCCAGAGAACAACAGCAACAGGAAACATAACACTTTGTACTTTGGTTAACATGTCAGACCTTGGTTAGTCATAACTTTAAAAAGCACAGATCAAGAGCACAAACCAGAAAAAAATAAGACATCTGATCTCACATGGACAAGAGCTGCACTGTATTTGAGCTCCAAGGTGTTTTGCTGCTGTTTGCCACAAGTATCTGCATGACAACCACCATAAGAGCTGGTCACGTTTTCTTAATACTCAGGAAAGGTCCTTCAGTGCTTCATTTATTACCTCCTAACCATCCTTGATGAGAGGAAATGTCCTCTCAAACCACTGATGACAGAAAGATCAACACAACTGATGATTGACTCAGATCACATAAATGTTAATTGATGTGTTTTCCATATAATGCCAGAACCTGCTGATTGTTTTGAATTTACAACAACAGAAAAATCCACAAATGAACTCATGGCCAAAATGCTTCTCTGATGAAATTAGTTTCATTTGAAATGGTTATCTTGTGTGAAGAACATAGATTTAAAAATGTAAAAAAAAAAATAAAAAGCTCCATAAAGTAAGATTTGGATTTGTGTTAAAATTATCGGACTGAGTATAAGGTTCATGAAAATTCAGTTTACAAAGTTTTGTCCTTATTTTAAAGTTGCTTTATTGCATTTATTAATCTGTTTTAGCTCAATCCTAATCGAAGGCTACTTCCTGCCCATAAAGACTAAAACTCACAATGACCTTTTTTATGTACAGATTCAAATTGGGCTTTAATTTCTGTCTACTTTCTGTTTTGTTGCATCTACAACCAAGACCAACTGAGTGTCACCAGTTGACCTAAAAAGTGTGTTTTTGGACTGAAAGGAGAAGGTGGAGTACCCAGAGGAAACACAAAATGGTGTTTCTGTGTTGTTCTGTGGACAGCACAATGTGTCAACTTGGTCCAACTGAAGCATAAAAACATTTGTTTTGTGAATATTCAAATTTTACTCAAGGTTTGACAACAGTGTAAGAACTGTTTGTAGTGCTTAGATTTGGTACAAAGATACTAGCAATATTTTCCTCCTCCCATCTTCTGAAAATAAATACTCTATGTCATCTTCATGTTTCACACCATCATGTTAGAAAAAACATCTTCCTGTTAGATTTAAAAATGGAAAAGAGACTTTATCTACAGCCCACTTTATGTTTAATGAAATGTTTTTCTTTCCTTGTATTTTTCTTGATAACAGATAAACCAAATCATTACTTTCTCCAGTTTTAACTTGGAGTTACAGATAATATTTTGATGCATTTTATTTATTTTATCCTTCATTTCCTTTTGATGGAGGCATTAATTTCTGTAAAGGCGGATGTGAATAAGTTGCTAAATGAGCAGTGGTTTTCTTAAATGCAAATGTCCACTGAAACTTGTCAAACCACACAATGACTAAACCTCTCCTACATATCCTGTCTGTATAAAAAGCACACACATGTAAGTTAACTACCAGATGTCTTATAATGAGTACTCAGCTATAACTGAAGCTCCCCTTTTCTTTACTTTTCTGTTGATTTACCCACATTAATGCTTTTACTGTCTACCTAGCTCAGTGTTCTTACGTAGTGGATCTCAAAGTGTCTCAGTGTAGAAGAGTGTTGAAAAAGGTGGTAGGTAAGCGGACTCGGCAGACATTTCAGGTTCCCAGAGATGAGCAATTTATTTAAAGTTACCTCCATTATACATAAAACTTAACCAAAACTCCCCAAAATGAACTTAGAACAAAAA